CTTGGCACTCTCTACCGCGGCGCGGCACAAGCCATCATTTCTCGGAAAGGTGCTGAGTCCACCACTTGGAAAGGGAGGGACTGCAGCACCAGCAACTTGGACAGGAGGACGTTCAGCTTTTGCACCGTCGGGTGCGTGCTCGCAAACTGTTGTCTCTTGGAAACGGATTCCAAGAAAGACTGCTGACAGAATCCGTGAAGAGGAGTAGCAGGAGAAGGAGAATCTGAACGAGCGGAAGATGCCAACGAGCGACAACTCCCCTCAGCAGAGGTGTTGGAGCCTTGACTGGCTGATAGAGGGCGATTGACGTCGGGTGACGGAGCAAGTAACGGAGCGGGTGATGGAGCGGGGGCTGGGGCAGGCAGAACCGCCGTATCTTTATCACGGTTTTCCCAGGCCACCAAATGGCGACGCTGCATATGCTGACGCAACGCTGTAGTCCCAACATGGGCCCCCTGGCCACGCTTGATTTTCTGGCCACATAGTCGACATACGGCTACGTTTACTTCCTCGGGCGGCTTGACAAAAAATTGCCACACCGCCGCCGAGTAGGAAACTTTGCCCCCGCTACTCCTCACTGGCTGACTGCTGCTTCCTCCGTGCACACCGGCACCACTACTGGCCGTGGTGGTAGGCTGCAGTGGAGCTGGTGCTCTACTCCGTGGCCGTTTGCCTCCACTGACACTGCTGCGACCCTGCTGCCTCCTGGGCAACCCACCGACTGTTTTGCTCACTGCCAAGCTGCCACCCTCTTCTCCTGATGATGCGGAAGCAATAGCCTGATGACGACGAGGCTGCCAAGTGCGATCAGCCACATCATCATTAATTAGGGTCTCCGCCTCACTACTAGCCCCCTCGGCTGCGTGTGGGTCAGGAGACAGACCTGTCTCTAGACCGGCTACCGAGCCACTCTCCTCACCACTACTTCTTCGCCTGGTTGCTGAAGAGGCGGATGTCTCCCCCCGTTCCTGACCGCCCTCTGTTAGCTCTTCCTCACTGTACAGTGGGGCTGAGCCCACAGCATGCGATACTTCGCTTGGTGAGGGAACACCAAAGGACAGGGGCAGGTAGAGGACACGTGATTTCAGTGGGCTTGCTCCCGGGCCATGCCAACTAACGGTTGTGTCTGACGTACCCACCGACCGTTGGCTGTAGGTGTCAGAGGTGACCTGGGAAGAGGAAGACGACCGAGCCAACCAATCGATGACGGCAGGGTTGTCGGTGGAGACACGACCGCTGGATGACACCGGGAGCACTGGCCTCTGGCTGCGACTAGTGCTGCCTCGACCCCTTCCTCTGCTGCCACGTCTGCTCGCTCCTAAAACATTGCCTCCTCTGCCACTCCTCTGCATGTTGTCTGACATACTCTTTAATTAAACGATTCTGTGTCCCTGAGTAACAATTCTGTGTCTGTCCCTGAGTAACAATTCTGTGTCCCTGAGTAACAATTCTGTGTCCCTCAGTAACAATTCTGTGTCCCTGAGTAACAATTCTGTGTCCCTGAGTAACAATTCTGTGTCCCTCAGTAACAATTCTGTGTCCCTGAGTAACAATTCTGTGTCTGTCCCTGAGTAACAATTCTGTGTCTGTCCCTCAGTAACAATTCTGTGTCCCTCAGTAACAATTCTGTGTCCCTCAGTAACAATTCTGTGTCTGTCCCTGAGTAACAATTCTGTGTCTGTCCCTGAGTAACAATTCTGTGTCCCTCAGTAACAATTCTGTGTCCCTCAGTAACAATTCTGTGTACCTGAGTAACAATTCTGTGTCCCTCAGTAACAATTCTGTGTCCCTCAGTAACAATTCTGTGTCCCTCAGTAACAATCTGTGTCCCTGAGTAACAATTCTGTGTCCCTGAGTAACAATTCTGTGTCCCTGAGTAACAATTCTGTGTCCCTCAGTAACAATTCTGTGTCTATCCCTGAGTAACAATTCTGTGTCCGTCCCTGAGTAACAATTATGTGTCTGTCCCTGAGTAACAATTCTGTGTCTGTCCCTGAGTAACAATTCTGTGTCCCTCAGTAACAATTCTGTGTCCCTCAGTAACAATTCTGTGTCCCTCAGTAACAATTCTGTGTCTGTCGCTGAGTAACAATTCTGTGTCCCTCAGTAACAATTCTGTGTCCCTCAGTAACAATTCTGTGTCTGTCCCTGAGTAACAATTCTGTGTCCCTCAGTAACAATTCTGTGTCCCTGAGTAACCATTCTGTGTCCCTGAGTAACAATTCTGTGTCCCTGAGTAACAATTCTGTGTCCCTCAGTAACAATTCTGTGTCCCTCAGTAACAATTCTGTGTCTGTCCCTGAGTAACAATTCTGTGTCTGTCCCTGAGTAACATTTCTGTGTCCCTAAGTAACGTTTCTGTGGCCCTAAGTAACGGTTCTGTGGCCCTCAGTAACAAAATCTGTGTCCCTCAGTAACAATTCTGTGTCTGTCCCTAAGTAACAATTCTGTGGCACTAAGTAACGTTTCTGTGGCCCTAAGTAACGTTTCTGTGGCCCTAAGTAACGTTTCTGTGGCCCTAAGTAACGGTTCTGTGTCCCTCAGTAACAATTCTGTATCCCTCAGTGTCTTCTGTAACAATTCTGTAACAATTCTGTATTCTGTGTCTGTCCCTGAGTAACAGTTCTGTGTCCCTAAGTAACAATTCTGTGTCTGTCCCTGAGTAACAATTCTGTGGCACTAAGTAACAATTCTGTGTCCCTAAGTAACGTTTCTGTGGCCCTAAGTAACGGTTCTGTGGCCCTCAGTAACAGTTCTGTGGCCCTCAGTAACAATTCTGTGTCCCTCAGTAACAATTCTGTGTCTGTCCCTGAGTAACAATTCTGTGTCCCTAAGTAACGTTTCTGTGGCCCTAAGTAACGGTTCTGTGGCCCTCAGTAACAAATCTGTGTCCCTCAGTAACAATTCTGTGTCTGTCCCTAAGTAACAATTCTGTGGCACTAAGTAACGTTTCTGTGGCCCTAAGTAACGTTTCTGTGGCCCTAAGTAACGATTCTGTGGCCCTAAGTAACGATTCTGTGGCCCTAAGTAACGTTTCTGTAGCCCTAAGTAACGTTTCTGTGGCCCTAAGTAACGTTTCTGTGGCCCTAAGTAACGGTTCTGTGTCCCTCAGTAACAATTCTGTATCCCTCAGTAACAATTCTGTGTCTGTCCCTGAGTAACAATTCTGTGTCCCTAAGTAACGTTTCTGTGGCCCTAAGTAACGGTTCTGTGGCCCTCAGTAACACTTCTGTGTCCCTCAGTAACAATTCTGTGTCTGTCCCTAAGTAACAATTCTGTGGCCCTAAGTAACGTTTCTGTGGCCCTAAGTAACGTTTCTGTGGCCCTAAGTAACGATTCTGTGGCCCTAAGTAACGTTTCTGTGGCCCTAAGTAACATTTCTGTGTCCCTAAGTAACGTTTCTGTGGCCCTAAGTAACGATTCTGTGGCCCTAAGTAACGTTTCTGTGTCCCTAAGTAACGTTTCTGTGTCCCTAAGTAAAGTTTCTGTGGCCCTAAGTAACGTTTCTGTGGCCCTAAGTAACGTTTCTGTGGCCCTAAGTAACGTTTCTGTGTCCCTAACTAACGTTTCTGTGTCCCTAAGTAACGTTTCTCTGTCCCTAACTCTCTCCCTGAATACAGCCAGGTCTGCCTCTGTTGAATGACTGGAGGCAAATGGAGAATTCTAAAATGGCCGCCATTTATAGCTCGACCATTACACAGTGCTGGCTGGCTGGCTGCTGATTGGCTAATGCGATCACATGTCATGAATAAATGCATTATGGGTCAGCGTGCCTTGTCTGCGCGCTTCCCAGACATCCCCGCTCCGTCGCCGCACATGTCGCCGCCATTTTAGAAAAAATTTCGATTCGCGCATCCGAAGTCTGCTAATTTTCGGATTCGGCGCGAATCGAAAATTTTCCTAATATTCGAAACGAATTCCACTTCGCCTACTTCGATTCGCTCATCTCTAGCTATAACTTTCACACAAAGCAATCAATATACACTTATTGAGATTTTTTTTTACCAAAAATGTAGCAGAATACATTTTGGCCTAAATTTATAACTAACTTTGAGTTTACTATATATTTTTTATAGCTGAAAGTAAAAAGTAGTTTTTCTTCAAAATTTTTGGTCTTTTTTTGTTTATAGCGTGAAAAATAAAAAGAGCACAGGTGATCAAATACCACCAAAAGAAAGCTCTATTTGTGTGAAAAAAAGGATGTAAATTTCGTTTGGGTGCAGCATTGCATGACTGAGCATTGAATTAGTGCAGCGCTGAGTAGCAAAAAAAGGCCTGGTCATTAAGGGGGGTAAATCCTCAGGAGGGCAAGTGGTTAAGTTATTACCTTTTATACTACTAGCCCCTCCCTCTTAGATTATAAACTCCAAGTAGCAGGGGCCTCCTAGCCCTCTTGTATTAATCTGTATTGTTACTGTATTGTCTCCCGTTATATTGTAAAGCGCTGAGCAAACTGTTGGTGCTATATAAATCCTGTATAATAATAATTGATAAACACTAGTGATATATTTCAGATGACAGTGTTAATCTCAATCTCCTCATTTGAGCCACAAGGAGTGAGGGAATTGAGGGTATAAATCCAAAATGTTTATCTCTTACAGAGCCTTTTGAAAAGTTCAGCGAGAGGGAAATGTGCAGGTATAGATTTGATCACTCACACCTTCAGTCCAGTAGATGATTTGTGTACCACCCGAGTAGACACTTTCTACTTCTTGGGAGCAAATTTTGGTTTGCTTACCTCTTTCACGAATTCAGAGAAAGTGAGAGTTGCTTGTGGTCCTTTGAGTAATAGTTTAAGCACAATTGGATGGTTGTGTTGGTTGGATGGAATTTGTCAGCATCCCGGAGATTGATTGAGAATCTAGAAGAATTTTATCCACTTAAGTAATGCATTCAGAAAGTCTCATCAGTCATGCTGATGAGTGTACTCGAACCTATACAAAAGGTCTGGAAGTTTCTCCATTTGGCCAAACACAGCATATAAAGCATCAATATACTGTAGACCAGGCCTTGAAATTTCTGCTCGCCAATGGCAAGTGGAAATTATGGTGGGGGCGAGTGTGTGCCCCAAGGCCGTCTTGCTGAGCAGGCTCGGAGCTCAGACCGGATATGTCATTGTCACTGGGAGCCGTCAGACTGCTCAATAGCTGACCGCAGTGAAAGCAAAGGAAGGAGTGTGTGCTGTGCTCTCTGCCTCCCCTTAGAGTGCAGTACCCAGCTCTGTGAGTGAACAACGAAGTACTGCAACTTTTTATAGGGGGTGTGTGTGTGTGTGTGTACATGTGTGTGTGTTTGTGTGTCTGTGTATGCATGTACATGTGTCTTTGTGTATGTACATGTGTGTATCTGTACATGTGTCTGTATGTGTGTGTGTGTACATGTGTCTCTGTGCGTGTGTGTGTGTGTGTACATGTTTCTATGTGTGTATGTGTGTGTAAAGGTGTCTCTGTTTGTGTGTTTGTTGTTGGCGAGTAACTCTTAAGGCCTGGCTAGTAGCTCAGGACTTGAAATTTTAAGCCCTGTAGACCATTGCTATACAATCCTGCTTTCCCATCCTCAGACTGCCAATCACTTCAGCTGCGGGCCCTCTAAGACTTTTACTTAGTCTCTGTCTCTTAACTACTTGGGGGACATCCTATTCTTCCACAATCTGAGTCACCTGATCCATCCAGGCTTCAAACTCTTCCTCTCCCTCTGGGATCAAAATCCCCCCCCCCCACCCCAGAAAAAACAAAGCTCTTCTGATATCCTTGACTGACAGAAGCAGAGCTATTCTGTATTATGTTCTCTCTTAGCTTACTCATTTCTGTGTAGAATGAGACAGGGGGAAATCCAAATAGGGGTGGGTCAGCATCTACTGATACTGGATTTTTAGCTCTTGCTTTTGGGTGATCCCTCAATGATTCACCTGTGGACAGCAAAGGGATCACTCAGGCCTCAACCCCTACAACAAAACTTATGCTGTTCATTTGGAAGAAGGCTTAGATGGTAAATCCTCAGTTAATACATAAAAGCAAAACACTGCTAAAATGGAAATAACCAAATAGCAACAGTTAACAGATTATATGGTCACAAATGGTACATTGTAACTATGTAACTGCAACACCAGTAGCAAGAGGGGGAAGAAAAGGCTTGTTGGCTTAACAGCTCCCTCTGGGCCACCGGCATCACAATAGGGAATGCAAAGAATTTAAAAAAAATTATATATATATATATATATTATATATATATATATATATATATATATATATGCATACTGTGTATATATATATATATACTGTATATATATATATATATATACTATATATATATATATATATATATATATATATATATATATATATATATATATATATATGTATATATATAAAATACTCTGGCATAAATGGGTATATGCACCCTAATTTGAATAACAATGTCTTAGATGCAAAGAGGTCCCTTTAACTAGAAAAAGTAACTTGAGTCCTGAGATATTTAACATTCCTTCTGTAAAAGTAGCTGTTGGCTTCTGCTAGCAATGGTGAGGCCCATATACAGTAGTGAGTAATGGTAGCTCAATAAAGATAACAGATGTGGTAAATGCTCAAAGCAAAGATCTCTTGGTACTGAGGTGTAAAGGTGTCTGCATGCAGTGTCTCTAGAGTGTTGTCAGAGAGAGATTTGGCATTCGCCCACTCACCAAACCTATGGATAACCTCTAGGAAGAGGGTTCTTGCACAGGCTCTTGGCTGGTAGCACAGAAGTGCAGAGTTACCTCCTGACAGCCTGTCAGCACAGCAAGCCGAGATGACTGGATGAAGACTGGATAGTGACAGTCCCGAAGTTGGTCCCAATGTGGTGATCGGTGTTCTCGGTGTGCTGAACTTGTATGCAGAGTCCCGCAGCAGTAGGCCAGCAATCTGTCTCTGGAGGAGACCTGCAGTCCCTCTGTGTTCAGCTGTGAATCTCTCACCAAGAGAGCCAGCCAGTTCCTTGCTGTAGAATATAGCTGCTCTCCCAGCAACCCTCTGGTTCCCCAGCTCTCTGGTAGTTGTAATAAACAGAAAAAACTAGTTGGTGCACTGGCCTGTTATATTACAACAGATGGGGGATGTTACAAAGTCACTGTCCAAAGTTTTGGGTGCTGCAGCTCTCTGGAATCTCCACTGGGGGAGTGGGAACAAGCCTGAAACAATCCAAAAGGTAGAAAGTGCACGACCGCCCTAGTGTGATACAGTTTTATTGAGATCGCGATCACGATTTTCCAAAATGCGCACACATTTCCAAGATAATATACAGCATGTCTGTGCTTAAACGTTGTCTCCTATGTGATCCCTGTAAGATCCGAGGCATCTGGATTGTCCGCTGTTGGCCAAAGACTGCACTGGGTGCGCTATGACAGGACACCGGCATACCCTCCCCATTATGCATGTGCTGAGTCCAGCCGGCGGCACGCTCTGCTGATGACCAATGGCTGTTGGCCAACAGCGATCCATCCAGAGGCATCAGATCTTACAGGGATCATGCAGGAGACCACTTTTAAGCACAGACACGCCGTATATCATCTGGGAAATGTGAGTGCATTTTGGAAAAGTTTTTAATCGCTATCCTAATAAAGCCATGTCACACTAGGGTGGCTGTGTGCTCTCTTCCTTTTGTATTGTCTCTGGTAGTTGTAGTTCAGTCAGCACTCAGGAATACAGTGTGTGTTGGCTACAAGACTACAGGCCCCAGGATCCACTGCTGTCAGAAGAACTGCATCCACTCTACTAACAGGAAGTAATGTAGCAGTTCCAGTTCTGGGCACAAGGGGGAAAAAGGATTAACCATAGTTTCATCTGCAAATGTTCCTGAATGGCATAATGACAAAGCCAGCATCTGCCTAGTTTCAGACTTCTACTATGCCAGTGACATTACTGATTGAATTGGATTATTAATGTGCTAGATTGTGTTTACTGATTGTCAGTTCATCATACTGTAAAGCTAGGATATATACAAATTATTTTCATTCAATCTGTGGGCTTTTACAGTGCAGATGGAGGAATCCACTGCTGCGGCTACTGTATTTTGACAGCCACAGAGAGCGCCTGTCAGAATACCCGAACAGCAGTCTAGTTGACAATTTTATACCTAACTCCTTTGATTGTTCAGTAGAGAGATGTCTGGCAGGTGGTGGCTCACAGGACCAGTTCCTCAGGAAATTCATACAGTGTATAACCAACTAAAACAATCAGTTTGTAATGTTTATATGAAACTGTGAATCTATTACAATGTCTTCTTACTAGATTTCTATCAAAACAGAATAATATGGAATATTATTTAAGTGTATTCTCAGTATTTAAATGTATATCTATAATTTAACTTTCATTTTATTTTGTTCATCTCTACAGCATGATGGCCAACCATACTGTCATAAGCCTTGCTATGGGATCCTTTTTGGACTAAAAGGTTTGTTTTACCTTGGAAAAAAACTACACAAAGAGAGGGTATTAAATTTAAATATTCTAAATTCATGTACTATACAGACTGAGTAAGGAATCCAGCATAAGGCCTATGTATTTAAAATTCTCAGAAACTGTGGAACTTTGTCCTTCGTGTCAAAAGGGTACAAATTTGAAGTTACATTTTAAAGGGTGAGTTCACCTTTTGGAACATGTTACATGTACCCACAGTTGATCTAGAGGAAACAAAAAAACCCAAATAAAGCATGATCCAATTTGCTCCAGCAGGAGAAAAAAAAAACCTTCTTTATCCCCCAAGAGGCAACAGAACAGAACTGGGAATTCTTCAAAAAGACTGTATGTGAACACACTGCAAAATATATTCCCATGGACAAAAAGTTTGAAAGGTTAAAAATAACAGGCTCACAGCCAAAGTTAAAAAAGCTATAAATAATTAGAAAAGAGCTTTTAAAAAATATACAAATTAAGGAACACTATCATAATTTAAATGTTACAAGGAATATAACAGAACATGTAAAAAAGAAATCAAGGACTGAACATCCAAAATGTTCCAGCTCATGCAGCCTCTTTCTGTGACCCACTCCTCCACTGTGAATGTAGGTTGGGGATCTTCTGCCTGCTCCCGCTGTCAGAATTCAAAAAGTGCGGCCGTGCAGGGCTCTGCCCACACAGCCATATCATTAATTTACAGTTTCATGTGAGTAAACTACAAGTACTGTCAGCCACCATGGCAGATGGCTTATAGTTCTAAATTGCGAATAGCTCTGAACTGCGTGGGCACTGATGAGTGCCCTTGTAGTTCATTCACAAACCCTACAGCTTTCAAACTGACAGCCCATATGGAGGTATCCACTAATCAATTTTGTGCAAAAATGTGTGCATTTATTATTTTTCTTAAAATTTTAACTTAGCCTTTAAGAGATTGCCTTCTGTGAATCAGCCAAGGTATTATCTTGAAGTGCAACTGTTGGCAAAATAAAAAATAACATATATGCCACAGTCTTTCACTAGCATTAACAAAGCATCTTTTTTTTTCATCTTGAAAACACCAAAATCCAATGCACTGTAATATGGATATGTGCATAGAGTATGCAGTTCTCTATCTTATCATCTGGATACATACTATAGTAGGAATAACCCTTGGGATCACCTATGCATATAGGTTGCAGGAGTTGTATTATCACCAAAATATGTACACACCCACAAGGAGGTGCAGATAGTCCAATGCAAATTAAAATATACTAACACTAAACTGCAGAAACTACTGCCCAAAAGCCAGGAGAGGGAACTCCATTTGTGTATGGAATCAAAAAGAGGAGAAGGGGAAGGACACACAGAACCACAAATACTGTAGTATATTATGGAAATGAAAATCTGTTCCTAACTTCCCATGGATTAAATAGGCAGTACCACATCCCAAAATGCTATATGTAAAGGAACCACAAGGGGAAAATGGGGAAATAGGGACTTTAGGGTACCAAAGTATAGGAAAAAAGTAGTATAAAAAAAAATACAAATTGTATTTATACAAAATGATAAAAAAAAAGCCTCCAAAGGCTAACATACCCCAACACATACGTATTATATTAAAGGCATACAGGAGAAAAATGTTACATGCTGTGTATACAATATTGATGTCATATACATGTATTGCTTCAATATCAAATGGCAATATGTTTTAACTTGTAATGCTTCTTCAAGGGGTTATCAATTATTTCTCTGAAATCAAGCCTGAAATAAATACAAACAACCAAATAACACACAGAAAGAGCAATGCAGACACAAATTACAATAAACAAGGGGAAGTAACATATCATTGATACCTCCAATTCTCAATGTCTTGTACAAAAGCTCTAAGGCAGAGTGTGGTTAGAGGTTTTCAAGGGGGACCCCTCCAAAAGTTCACAGATAGCACAAGGGATAGCTATAATCCTTCAGGGAATATATAAGATCTAATCAGAGTGATACAACAAAAGGTGAAAAATGCAACAATGCAAAAAAAAAAATGATATATACACACATTATTAATCAAATATAAGAGTGCGCTAAACAAACATATACAATGTCCATACATCAAATATGTGAAAGTCCAAAAACTCATGTGACAAATATAACAAACTTTGTGAACAATCCACCACCAAATCAATCAAATGCACTCACCAGAGCTAAGTGCTGATCAAATTATAGACCAGCCTTAGCGCTTTTGCTCTGGGAGCGTAGACACCAGCAACCTCCAGACTTTCGATGTAATATTCTGCAGTATTAGAATCCAGCTGATAGACACCTTTCTACATTATAGGCAGGTAATGAGGAGGAATACTCTGCAGCCACTCTTCCATGAGTGGACAATCACCACAGCTCTATATATATCGGGACCACATTAAAAAATAAAGAAGAATATAATGGTGCAGCATGTTTAACCAGCATCTATTTATTAAAGTTTAAAATTCACTCACAAGTGAGGTGTCTAGCTGACACCGGCATCAATCGCATAGGCAAAGAAGGAATCACCGCTCCGTCTACTCAGCTATCACTCGACATTAGCAGGGAACATCCTGACATCAGCATCCGACAGACCACGCCAAACGCGGTACCGCCCCATGAAGACGTTGTGGTGACGAAACGCATAGGTCGTGGTCTGTCGGATGCTGATGTCAGGACGTTCCCTGCTAATATCGATGTCACTTGGTGATGTAAGGGTTGGATGCAGCTGCTCGGCCATGGAAACCATTCCATGAAGCTCTCTACACACTGTTGTTGTACTAATCTGAAGGCCAAATGAAGTTTGGAGGTCCTTAGCTATTGACTCTGCAGACAGTTTGCGACTCTGCGCACTTCAGCATGCTCTGACCTTGCTCTGTCATTTTATGTGGCCTACCACTTTGTGGCTGAATTGTTGTTGTTCCCAGTTGCTTCCACTTTGTTATAATACCACTAACAGTTGACTGTGGAATATTTAGTAGGAAGGAAATTTCACGAATTGTCTTATTGCACAGGTTGCAAACTATCACGGTACCACGCTTGACTTCACTGAGCTCCTGAGAGCAACCCATTCTTTCACAAATGTTTGTAGAAGTAGTCTGCATGCCTAGGTGCTTGATTTCATACACTTGTGACCATGGATGTGATTGGAACACCTGAATCCAATGATTTGGAGGGGTGTCCCAACACTTTTGGCAATATATTGTCTATAGATAAACAATAAGATTATAAATGCCCTAATCATAGTTAAGGGTAATCATCTGAAGCCGCAAATGGCAAAACTCTAAGACTTACATCAACAATGAGAGTAATGTACTTATCAGCCATATGCAAGTTAAATCAATTCAGCCTTTGGATCCAGTGGAGGTCCGGCTCGGGGACATTGAGATTGCAGGTGCCTGCAAGAACCCCAAGACAGATAAAAGTCCTTATTTAGAAAAATAATGTAGCACTACCCCCTTATGGATTGCTGATGAATTTGGGTCCCCTTATAGTTCTGCACAGAAACAGAAAACAGTCCTTGAGCATTTGTTTTGTTATTTTATTGAGGGGATTAGAAATTGGATAGGGTAAGGGGGGTATAGATTGCCCAAGGGAACTGATATCTGAGGACAACTTCCTGAACTATTCAAAAGCTTCTCTTCTTTAGCAACACAGTCTCTAGTGTAGCCCTAGCCAGCAGCTCCTAGTTGTACCACTCCAGAATCTAGATTAACTCCTCTTCACCCAGCAACCTGAAGACTTTCTTCTTGAGCAGGAGATCTGGCTCCTGTTCCTTTAAATAAGGTGCACAGTCACTAGCAGGGGGCTAATCCGGTTTCCCACCAGAGTACTCCTTCCCATATCTTCCCAGGGGGTGCAGATACTCACTCAAATCCTCCCCTGTACAGCTTGCTGGATGGCTGCTGCTATCAGTCCTATCAGCTGGGTTGCTCCTTCGCTGCCATGCAAGTGGTCCTCTTTCAGGGTACCAGTGAATCCCAAGTTTTCCTCTTTTCCAGCTCCAGGCTCACTGGAAGGCCCCATTTCACTAGGCCTCCTGGCAGCCTTCCATCTCCAGCTTCACATCTTCCTGCTCCACACTTCTCTCCCACCTCCACACTTCTGCTACTGAGCAGGCTCTTACACTTTTAAGGGAGTCCCAGCCCCTTGCCAAGCCTTTTGTTGGGGATTGGTTGAGGTCCCTCAAGAATGCAGCCAGCTACTCCTCAAATCCATCCACTGCCTTCAAGGCCCTCCTCCAAAAGCCTCAGAGCAAGGTGAAATTCCAGAGGGGCTGGCCTCTCAGCCCTGACCACAATTTGACCCCTCTGGGTTTCACACCTGAGCTGCTAACCAGCTCCTGACAAACCATTAGGGTCTAGCTCTCTCTAGCTGCACTAAGAGGTTGCTACAATAATAATAGCAGGTAAGAAAAGGGAATCTTTTAAGACCACGATATCCATATACAATATATACATTGTACATATACAGTATGTACTTTGGTCTTCCTCTCCCATTCAGAATCCTCCTTTTTTACATTTAGAATGGAGATATCCTTCTTAGTCTCACTCATGATTACATCCGACATTTTATTTATCCATCTGTAATATGTCTCCTTAATACAAATCCACTAGTTCCCCTTTTAACTTTCCCTGTTCTTCAATTTTGATAAAATGTAATTTTGTTTCTTTAATCTTCTGTTTTTGTCACCCGATTTAGTCTAGTCAATGTTTATGATGTCCACTCTGTTTTTTGTTTTCATGCTGTCATTCATTTCTAGAGAGAGCATAGTAGGGGACCTAGGTGCCATTCATACAAGTCTTCCCCTCTCCCTATTGGTCATTGATTTGCATACAGCCTGCCCAGGCCCGTTATACTCATGTATCCCTGGCTCCGCTCTTGGTTCGAGGTTGATGGTGTGCTCTATGCTGGCTCCTGCCAAAGTTCCTAGTTATCACCACTTCCTGCTCTGGCTCTACGATCTCCAGCAGCGCTTCCACTGCGTATTCTGCATATACAGCCCAGCTGTTTCCAGGTGTCCCTCTGCTCTACCCGGCCACTGCCCAGCCAAGCTCTACAGATACCAGAGGACTAGTAATGTGTTTATGATTTTATACAATGTGAGTGCAAATTTTACTTCTTTTTATTGTTTCAAGTGAATTCATACTTACTGTAGATGGCGGTGTCCACTGTTTCTTTTGTTTTGACAGTGCAAGTGTTAATATCCTAAACTCACACAAATGAGGTTCGGCATTTCAAGTGGACACATTCAATTTGGGACTTAGCACATACTTTTACTACTCCATACACACCTTGTGTGTTTTTTGTTTTGCATTGGGACTTGCAAGGCACTCACCCATGTTGAGGGCCTGGAATGGTTTGGGGGGCTCTCAAACATGTAATGTGTATCGCACAGGGGCGGACTGACCATTTGGAAACTCGGGCACTGTCCGAGGGCCCAGGGTCAGTAGGGGACCCCATGAGATGCGCAAGGTACCTTTTTAATAGGCTTTTTTGAGTTTGGGCAAGGACACAGGGGCCCCATGATCCCCTATTGCCCGGGGGCCCCATGATTTCTCAGTCTGCCCCTGGTATCACAACTGGCTTCTTCATGTGTGGATGCCCCCGATGCATGCGTTTGCATTCATACGTGCATATATGTGGGTAGGGGAGCCTCAAAAATTTTGGGGAAGGATTTTATTTGCTTGGGTGTAGACACGGAGGAACTGACAGGGAGATCTGGAAGTGATGTCAAACATTGATTCAAGGTCACCAACAAGAAAGGGAGGAGCGCGGACGTGTGTCCACTCAGCAACCCCCCCCCACCTGCTGGCACCCGAAGTGGGCAAGCAGAGCTGGGGATACATGGCATGCATGGGGGGGAGCATGTTATCGGGGGGGTGTGGAAGCAATCTTGTGGCAGCGCAGCCGTCAGATTACATCTGACAGGCAGGAGACTGCTTGTCAGAAATACACACAATCCAATGTGTGTAAAACCTCCCACTGTCAAGTCTATACAATGTATATGATGCCCAACCCCATTCTATTTTTTTACACACCCTTGTCTATTAGGCCAGAAAATGGGCATTTTTACTTTGAGAAATTTGGCTCCCATTGTTTTTGATGGATTTTGGGTTCAGCATCCGAACGTCTCTGAAATTCGCAGACCACCTTCAATTCGAACCCCGGCTATTTAGCATCACTTAAAATTGAACCCCATGCACTACAAATTTTAAGGTTTGAGGCAGCAGGCTGTTGATGCTTAGCGATATAGGCTAATAATATGCTAGAATGGCTGTCATATTCAAAATGTTTCTGTTTACCAATGAACAGTTTCCAAGAACAGGTCCAGTGGGCAGGTGGTTAAGTTGGAATTAGAAAAAAAGTTTAGCAACCTTGTATATAGCCATGGAGTTGAATGAGGGAAGTAATAAGTGTACCTGTAGACATGGAGTGGTAAGTGGGGAAGATATCTGTACAGCAGAGATCACTTCATAAATTGTATCAATCTTTTTTTTTAAATGATTGGCGATCTCATGGGCAGTGATTGAGGTAGTGGGTGGAGGCAGTGGAGTGTGAAGTAGAGGGTTGAAGGTAGAGAAGAGTTGATGGGGACTGGATGAGAGGGTGTTAATGAGAGTGATAAAATAGGTCTGCTTGGCATTGTGGATGCAGAAAGAGTATTTTTGAAAAGCACATTTATATTGGTTAAAATCTTTCTGAGACTTACACCACAGGCTACATTTTTTCAGATTTCTGGTGTCATCTGTTAAGGTTGTAGGGGTCGGGGCCTGATTCTGTGTGTCGTAAGGGGGCAAGTGTGTCTAGGATGGATGACATTTCTGTAGACAGAAGTGGCTAGATTGGGGCTGGACAGGGGTGAGATTTCCTCACAGAGTTGGTCAGTAGCAGAGTAGAGAAGCACAGGAGGGCCCTACTACTGGGGCTATGATAGCAGAAGCAACTCTCATGTTCAGAGTAGATATCTGGACCTCCTGGCCTTGGCACAAAAGGGTCAACTGGCTGCAAAAAGTAGGTATCATTAACCAGACAACCCCTTTAAGTCACATGACAATGGAAACTCAGTAGCCTCAGACACATCAGCAGGTGGGAGCCCAATCCAATGAACAAAGTCTGGTTGGGCAGCATAGTCTAGACTATGCATAGTATGTATAGTCCGGCTGGGCAGCGGCCTGGGAATCTGTATAGTCTGTCTGGGCAGCAGCCTGGGAATATGCATAGTCTGGCTAGGCAGCGGCCCGGGAATCTGCATAGTCCGGCTGGGTAGTGGCCTGGGAATCTGCATAGTCCAACTGGGCAATGGCCCAGGAATCTGCATAGTCCGGCTGGGCAGCAGCAGGCTTGACAGAATACAGCAGGTCACCAGCGGCAGGCTGCACCCCACTGGCAGGCATAGAGGCAGGCTGAATCCCATCAGCAGGCATAGAGGCAGGTTGAAATCAATCGGCAGGCAAGGAGGCGGAATGGACCCCATCATCAGGCAGCATGGAGGAGGAGTGGACCCCATCATCAGGCAGCATGGTAGAGGAATGGACCCCATCATCAGACAGTAGGGGAGGGGGAATGGACCCCATCATTAGGCAGCATGGAAGAGGAATGGACCCCATCAGCAGTCAGCATGGAATCTGGAACTGGCTAATTAACAATTGAGGCAGCAGTAGATAGTGCCAGGACTGAATGAGCAGGAGAAAACCTTTTATGGTTTGGTTTTGATACTGGAGTCTTGCAAGCAACTGCATGGTGCTGAACAGAGTGTACTGCTGATTGAAAATTAGTAACAGTATTGGAAGGCTTAGAGGAAAGGGTAACAGAACCAGAGGAAGATGTCTAAAAAGATGCTATGGGTAACAACAGTATTGTAGGAGGCGCCATCAATGGAGTACATGCAGGGGAAGTGTGGTTACTGATAGCAGAATACTCATCTACAGGAGGCAGGGAACACCCAGTAGCAGCTGTGGTTGCTAAGGGTAACAAAGAAAGAGATCCTTGATGCCTAGAGGCAGACCTGAACTGGTGTGAATCATAACCTGGGGAAAGCATTTCTGACCAGGTATTATAGCAGAGCCTGAACTAAGGTCAGTTTGTCTTTCCCTTGCTCAAAGTTTTCAAATAAATGCAGGCAATAGACGGGGAGAAAAACGGCCGATTTTTCTTTTAAAAAACGAAAAATCGGTCGTTCAAGCGGCCGACGTTACCACCAATGGTAAAAAAAATCGGCCGATTTTCATCCTGTCTACAGCCGGCAAAAAGTGTCCCTGCAGAGAGCTCTGCTATTTCTTTGACAGTTCTTTGACAGTTCTTTGACATTTACAGAGGTTGCAACATTGTATCTATTTGTATCCATTTAGGATACAGATGTTTTTATTCGGAAACAAATAGATACAATGTTGCAACCGCTGTAAATGTCAAGGAACTGTCAAAGAACTGTCAAAAAAATAGCAGAGCTCTCTGCAGGGACACTTTTTGCCAGACTGGAATTCCTCTTATTTTTCATCCTTCTCCTTCTCCTTCTTCATCATCATCCTCTTTTTCTTCTTCATCATCATCCTCTTCTTCTTCTTTTTCTTCATCATCATCATCCTCTTCTTCATCATCATCATCATCTTCATCACCATCCTCCTCTTCTTCTTCTTCATCATCATCCTCCTCCTCCTCCTCCTCTTCTTCTTCGTCATCATAATCCTCTTCTTCTTCTACTACTACTTCTTCATCATCATCCTCTTCTTCATCTTCTTCTACTTCTTCATCATCATCCTCTTCTTCTTCTACTTCTTCATCATTATCATCCTCTTCTTCCACTTCTTCCTCTTCTTCTTCTACTTTTTCTTCATCATCATCCTCTTCTTCATCATCATCATCATCATCCTCTTCTTCTTCTTTTTCTTCATCATCATCATCCTCTTCTTCATCTTCTTCTACTTCTTCATCATCATCCTCTTCTTCTTCTACTTCTTCATCATTATCATCCTCTTCTTCCACTTCTTCCTCTTCTTCTTCTTCTTCATCATCATCCTCTTCTTCATCATCATTATCCTCTTCTTCTTCTTTTTCTTCATCATCATCCTCCTCTTCTTCATCATCATCCTCCTCTTCTTCATCATCATCATCCTCTTCTTCTTCTTCTTCTACTTCATCATCTTCTTCATCTTCTTCTACTTCTTCATCATCATCATCCTCTTCTTCTTCTTCTTCTTCTTCTTCTTCTTCTACTTCTTCATCATCATCCTCTTCTTCTTCTACTTCTTCTTCATCATTATCCTCTTCTTCTTCTTCTTCATCATCATCCTTTTCTTCTTCTTCTTTTTCTTCATCATCATCCTCTTCTTCTTGTTCTGCATCATCATCCTCTTCTTCTTCATCATTGTCATCCTCTTCTTCTTCTTCATCATCATCCTCTTCTTCATCATCATCATCATCATCCTCTTCTTCTTCATCATCTTCTTCATCATCATCATCCTCTTCTTCTTCTTCTTCTTCTACTTCTTCTTCCTCTTCTTCATCCTCATCACCCTCTTCTTCTTCTTCTTCTTCTTCTACTTCTTCTTCCTCTTCTTCTTCATCATCATCATCCTCTTCTTCTTCATCATCATCATCCTCTTCTTCTTTTTCTTCATCATCCTCTTCTTCTTCTTCTTCTTGTTCTTCATCATCATCCTCTTCTTCTTCTTCTTCTTCATCATCATCCTTTTCTTCTTCATCATCATCCTCTTGTTCTTCATCATCATCCTCTTCTTCTACTTCTTCCTCTTCTTCTTCATCATCCTCTTCTTCATCATCATCCTCTTCTTCTACTTCTTCCTCTTCTTCTTCATCATCCTCTTCTTCTTCATCATCCTCTTCTTCTTCTTCTTCTTCTTCTACTTCTTCTTCCACTTCTTCATCATCATCCTCTTCTTCTTCTTCTTCTTCTTCTTCATCATCATCCTCTTCTTCTTCTTCTTCTTCATCATCATCCTCTTCTTCTTCTTCATCATCATCCTCTTCTTCTACTTCTTCCTCTTCTTCATCATCATCCTCTTCTACTTCTTCCTCTTCTTCATCATCATCCTCTTCTTCTTCTTCATCATCATCTTCTTTTTTTTCATCATCATCATCATCCTCTTCTTCTTGTTCTTCATCATCATCTTCTTCTTCTCTTCCTCTTCTTCTTTTTCTTCTTGTTGTCTCCCTCTTGCAGGTCACTGCTCATGCGCAGATTTTTTATCGGTAAAAAAACGGCCGATTTGCACATCATTGCCGGATAAATCGGCCGATTGGCAAAATCGGACGATTTTTTTTTCCAACTTTACCGATAAAAAAAACCGGCCAAAATACCAAAAAACGGCCGAACACATAGCCCACTAACGATCCGAAAATCGGTCGATTTTATTTTCGCCCGAAAAATCGGCCGATTTTCGACCCATCTATGGCCTGCAAAAGTGTGCACAGCAGTAATGAAATCTAATAGCACCTGTTGTTGATAGGCTGAATACTGCTGGAGAAAAGAACCTTTACAATGTTTCAACAGGCGTCCCAAAAATCCAACCAGCAACATAGTAAAAGGAGGGGTGAAAACATCTTGTCACGATATGTAGCTGGAAATAATAATTCAAAACAGACACGGGCCAAAGGCTGTGTTTCACTAAATGAGAATCTGCCCTCATCAACTAAAGTCTGTGCTGTCAGAATGCTTCCACGCGGATCCTTGACAGTGAGGTCCTGAGAAAATGAGCAACAAGTTGCACACGACAAATAACCTTCTCTCAAAGCATCTCGACTCAAAACAAATGAATTCCAATTCCCAGGTGTAGCTGATCTAGCCATAGTGGGTGTCAGTGTTATGTCCGGAGTCAGCAGCTGGGATGACCAGATATACAGTATGTAGCTACACAAAGAAACTGGAACCACAGCATATGTATATATCTTTAAAGTGAAATGTATTTACAGTGGATGTAAGATAACTACATACCAGCAGTGCAATAAACATGAAATGCAAGGAAATCTGAACTAAATGACAAAATGCAGAACCTGAACTAACTAAATACATTTAACACTGCCCCCTTAGGAGTTGCTGATGAATGGGGTCCCCTTATAGTCCTTCACAGCCAGACATCACACATTTTCCATTCAGACCTGCTTCGGGAGACAGAAAGTCAGTCCTTGGGCTTTACTTGGATAGGGTAAGGGGTGTATGGGATGTCCAAGGGTAATGGCAGCAGAGGACAAAACTTCCTGAACTATATTACAAGTCTTTACACAGAAGTACTCTTCAAGGAGAGCTCTCCAGCCTCTCTTGGTGTACTACCCCAGACCCCAGGTAAATCCTCTTCTTTATCCAGCTTATCTGGAGGAATTCCTGGGCAAGGGAGTCCAAGCTGCCACTTAAGCTTAACAGTCCCGGGTGTAGAGCTAGTCAGGTTCCCCACCCAAATGTTCTGGCCCCTTTCCGGCCCAGGGGGTGTAGGAGTACTGACTGAGTTCTTCTCATGTGCTGCAGTTGGGTAGGTAGCTACTACCAGGCCTATCAGCTGGGCTACTTCTTCCCTACCGCCAGGTGGCCTTCTCTCAAGGGGCCAGTGAAGTCTTACAGCTTTCTTCCCTTCAAGGTCCCTCTGCCTGGAGGTGAGCTCCTTCCAGGCTCCTGCATCTTAGCCTTACTTCTCCATCTTCCACCCATACACACCCATACACACCTGCTGCTGAGCACACTTTTAAGCCTGCCCCAGCCCCTTGCCAAGCCTTCTATTAGGGATTGACTGAGGTCCCTCAAGAGTGCAGCCAGCCACTCCTCAGATCCACCCACTGCCTCTAAAGCCACTCTCCAAAGCTGCAGGGTAGGGGGAAATTCCAGAGGGGCTGGCCTGCAGAGCTGCTCATCCCCTATTTAACATTGTAGTCTATCTCCCCCTAGCTACCTAGGAGGGCTCTACATACACAATATATCTATACAAATGAAAACATACAGAGGTGGGGAAAACTAGGGGTGCAGGGCAAGAGCAGGAGTAGGATCAAAAGTTAATGGCAACAGAGCCTGGCAGAAGCACAGCAAACAGAATACAAGGCAGGAGCAGGCCAAAACACTGATGCTCCATGTGCTAATAGGAGCAGCATTATATGTCCTGCTAGTGTCTCAAATCATTTGGAACTGATTACTGGGGCCTGCTGACCTCTGAGAGACACCTGCTGGTGGACACTGAAACTACAGTTTTCTGCCTAGAGATCCACAGCACCACCAGCAGGTGAACCAGGCTGTGACAATGAGGAAGAGGTACAGTATATGATGGGTTGAATGTTGTGTGTTGAATGTTGTGTTATGTAAAACTCTAAAACTTTACAAAAAAAAAAAGATTACGTGACTGATGGGTCTCTAAGATTGCCTTGGAAAACAAAGGATAACATTGCAAACATCAAGTGGAGATAAGGTAGAGTTTTAAGATTAACCAGTTAAGGGCACTGGATGCAGGGCCGTGGATAAGGGGGTACCACTGGTCCTCCACACAGCTGGATGAATCGGATGTGTGCAGGGAGGGTAACCGGCATGGTGTGTGTGGGGGAGGGGCAATTACTGGAACCGATCCCCTGCATGGCTCTCTCTGCAGCAGCTGAAAGCTGGCTTTTTCTCCTCTATCTGCCGCTGGCTTTCAGCTGCTGCAGAAAAAGCTAAACAGAGAATCTGTTACAGTATCTCCCCCCCCCCGTGCATCCATCACCCTCCCTGTGCACCATACATTTCCCCTTGCTGCCCAGGCCCCCCGTGTGCCCCCAGCTCTGCAGTGCTGCCGGCTTCCCTCCTCTCCTTCCCACCGGCAGCTGCAAGCACACAGTAGGGTCCTTCAGGATGGAGAGTGGGGGGAGGGTCTGGTAATTATGTCACATTTACCAACCCCTTCTTTTCCTGAATGAACACAATGAGCAATCAATACCGATCACCCACTGTGTTCATTAAAACTGGAGCATAGTAAACTTTTTTTTTTGGGGGGGGGCCCTATCAGGCTGGCTGAATGGGACCCTGTGGTTTCTAACAGCAGCCCTGACTGGATGTGCTATACAAAAACATTCTGCCCCATTGTTAAACCCCATTGCCGGCATTTTACATCAAAATAAACGTTGGTTGATGCTCTAGCATCTACTGCTGTCCACAAAAAGACCATCTAACACAGTTATCATCAACACTGTGCAGATGTGAAGTAGAGTAACCTTGTTACTTTTGTATTTACTCTGTTTCATTCATCTGCAGGTCAATGCAATAAGCAGTCAGTGACTTAAGTAAAAAAAAAAACAACTATCCCTTAAAATTATATTAAAGGCAATGAAAAAAACCCACAACAAACATGTCATACTTACCTGCTCTGTGCAAGGGTTTTTCACAGAGAATCCCCAATCCTTCTCTTCCTGCCGGCACTCCTTGTGATGGGAGTCACTTTGGGTGGGGGCCCATGGAACACAGCTCACTTTGAAGAGGTGGGGAAACCCCTGTCTCAGCTCCCCATATCCCTTTTATGTGTAAGTCACCCTGTGCCTGTTAGGGGTACAGGGCGATCTGTTCTCATATTGTGTAGACATGTCTAGGAGATAGGTGGGGGGTTGTTGATTGTTTAATGCCATGTGGTTGCATCCCATTGTTCTATTGTGTGTCTTGCTTGGGAGCAAACTATTATGGGATGTATGTGTTTGTGTATTGGTTTGGTGGGGGGTGTTTCCAGCAGCCTTCCCCCTGATGGGACTATCTGCTGATGTGTCTCTTGTTACTGGGTTTGGATTGCCCCACCCTGTGTATATATCTTGTATCTGTGTTAAAATAAAGTAGTCTATTTCCCGGTTGTACTTCAAGACTGGTGTTCTCTAGTCTCGTATGATCAGCGGTGGTGTCCATGGTCGGTATTTGGACTGGGAAGTGGTATTATAACGGAAATACCCAAGTGCAGTCGGGGTCTGATTCCGTTACATTGGTGACAGCAGTGGGATTGTGCTTCCTGGCTGTGAACATGTCCAAACCGCCACCGGGATTCAAGATCAGGAAATTAGACGTCGGTAACCCCAGTGTCTCCATATCTCTATGGACCTGGCATCAGAGTTCCGGGGCTGCTGCGGATCGTTCTTGCAACTTACCCCAGGACTGTGTCTGCGGATGAGTACCTGGAGCTCAGGCAGCGGATTTGGGAGGTACGTTGGACTGGAGCCCTCCAGGTTGCTGGTATGTACAAGGGCAAGTGCTATCCAACCCCAGGGGAACGGGCCAGGTACCATCAGAAGTTACGGATGCCATTCCTGGGAGAGCAACCCCAGGAGCAAAGGGTGACTGAGTTGGACAGGTTGGTCCAGCAGGAGATAGAGCTAGACAAACGATATCGGGCTCTGCAATGGTACGCAGAGCAGGAATATTTAGGGGTGACAACAGAATGCTCTCCGGAGGGATATGACTTTGGTGGCCCTGGATTGCTGTGGGAGAGCCTTACAGATCATTTTGTTTTTGGCGATGATGGAGAACCTAACCTTTGAGGACCTGCGAGAAGACAGAGAGGCTATGTTCAGTCTCACAGGGGTCTCAGAGCTTGAACCAGATCTGGAATACCTGATGATGAAAGAACACTGGTAACATGTTCTGGGTTCCACGGACAGGAGATGGTGAACCCCTATCCCCAGACACCAGTTCCAGAGACTGGGGATTTGAATGACTTTTCTGCTGAGGAGGAACCAGCCGACGCACCTCCAGCAGAAGAGCTGGCATCAGGGCATGGAATTTTTAACCTCTGCCCACAACAATCAGCACCGCAGGAGCTACAGGAAGACGATGCAATCGGCACCTCACAACAACTGCAGCTTGAGCTGATGTCCGTGGATGGGACTTCGGTCTCCACTGACACAACCCCAGAAAAGGGTCTGGCATTGGGACAGGAGGATATCAGCCTTACTTTGCAAACACTGGGGGATGTCCATCAAGTCAAAGTGGATGAGACTACAGTCACCACCTGGATACCCAAGGGATGCTGGGCAGTCGGCCCAGATCCCCAACAGCATGATGGAGTCGGCCCAGCCACCCTGTCTTCTCTCCAGTGGCTGAGAGGACTACAGGGAGAAGGACCAGCCTATACTTCTCCCCAGTATGTTCTATGAGAGAGGCAGAGGTTGGCTGGGTGAGTAATGCTATGTTTGGGACAATTTGTTTGGGAAACTGTGTGGGTGCTGGCATTGGGGGACTGGAAGTACAGACTAACTTCGGAGTCCACCCATCTGCGTTAGTCTCCTGCCAAAAGGGGAGACTTTGGGTGGGGGGCCCATGGAACACAGCTCACTTTGGAGAGGTAGGGAGACCCCTGTCTCAGCTCCCCATATCCCTCCTATGTGTTAGTCACCCTGTGCCTGTTAGAGGTACAGGGTGATCTGTTCTCATATTGTGTAGACATGTCTAGGAGATAGGTGGGGGGTTGTTGATTG